GCATTATTATATTCCGCCTTATTCACATACAGTATAGTAAACACACTCTGAGTATCAGCCCCAATAACAATGTTTTATTTAAGCCACCTTCACAACATTATCAAAAAGCAGTACTTACAGAAAAGCCTCTCATGAGTTGAGAGGATGACCAGAGGGCTTCAGTTTCTGTCTCTGACCTTTTATTTGTTATTCTACTGCAGTGAGCACACTCATAATGGCGACAGCATTTAAAGCATCAAACTAATTTTTTGATAGTCTCCCTCAATGTGATTCTGCATACAGTTTACAGTATCAATCAAATACTAACTGGCTATTGCTTAGCAACACAGTCTCTATCTCTTCCCTCTCAAGCCTCAACCTTTTTATGGATACACCAAACAAGCCACACACACACGCACGCACACACACTTGTTCTATCTTTTGTATATGATTAATAAAACGACTCTTATTAATCAGGCGCTGACTGCGGGCGTGTGGAGGGGGTATGGTGTTCGTTTAAGAGTGCTTTTTAGTGCTTCGCTCTCTCATAATGACCCCAGCAGGGGACCAGAGAGCAGACTTTACAATGAGAACCATTCTTCACGTCTTCATGTAGCCCTAATGATAATGATACAGCCGTCCCTGTGTACCTGAGAGCCACCGATACTTCCCGGATCCATTAGTCCATTAGTGAGAGTGAGGAGGGAATAAAGAGGGAGTGGGAAATATGGACGCCAAACATAGCACCATAGTTAATCTGCAGACAATGTATTGAAAGCTGTGTGTGTGTGTGTGTGTGTGTGTGTGTGTGTGTGTGTGTGTGTGTGTGTGTGTGTGTGTGTGTGTGTGTGTGTGTGTGTGTGTGTGTGTGTGTGTGTGTGTGTGTGTGTGGTGTGTGTGTGTGTGTGTGTGTGTGTGTGTGTGTGTGTGTGTGTGTGTGTGTGTGTGTGTGTGTGTGTGTGTGTGTGTGTGTGTGTGTGTGGTGTGTGTGTGTGTGTGTGTGTGTGTGTGTGTGTGTGTGTGTGTGTTGTGTGTGTGTGTGTGTGTGTGTGTGTGTGTGTGTGTGTGTGTGTGTGTGTGTGTGTGTGTGTGTGTGTGTGTGTGTGTGTGTGTGTGTGTGTGTGTGTGTGTGTGTGTGTGTGTGTGTGTGAAATAGAGGTCTTACAGTATATACTCTTGTCTTGATGTATCGTGCATTATTGAATTCATCCAGCCCGGGATATTGTAATCTTCTCCCCCCGTTGTTTGACTTCAGCTCCTGTCATGACGTGTTTTGGTGCATGATCCTAGAGGCAGTAGATCCAGAGCTGATGTTTTATCTGAGCAACTTTTTTTAACCTGTCCCAGCTGACTCATCCGTCAGACTCTTGTCGGTGGGAGCCTCTGTTCGTACGTGGGAAGGCAATGTTTGATATTTGTTTGTGTTTTTTTGTGTATGACCTTGAGCAGCACTCAAGGCTGATTGAGCAGACGCAGGGACATCAAGCTGACAGACTAAACAAAGTGATACCAGCCTGCTTTAGCGCAGTAGAGCTCTTGCCAGCTAGAAGGGGCTGTCAATCCAAACAAGAGAGTGGATGAGTCATAGTAGTCTGCTAATACATTTTAAGGATATTTTATTGTCTTTTTGCACAATCAATGTCCCAGTTCTCTCAAGGCCCCTGACAACTTTTTTAAAAAAGCCTCTGTAAGCTACAGTGGACTGAAGTTAAATCACTAAATTAATCAATGCATTCTACCTACATTCGCCTGGATAGTCTCATCACACAGAGCCAGACAGGAGCTCAGGAAGCACACACCTCTGATAACAAATAGTTTCATTAAACCTAATCTATAGACTTGTTATTAGGCGATAATGTATACAACTTTCCGTTTTATACATGTAAATCTGCAGGTTGGAAAATGTATAGATTTGTCTAAAAAGTTGCCATAATCAAACTTTATTACTACAGTTATATCAGACATGTATACCCTGATCAACATCTGAGTGAATCAAACTTTATTGATTAATTATACATTTGAGAAAAGATTATAAAAAGTGCCGACATAAAAAAAGGAAATGATGGTGGGTTTCTTGTTTCATTACAATGGATTATTTTTGTACTGAAAGAAACTTAAAGTGATGTACAGTAAGGAGTTTTTTCTATGATATCCAAATAAATGATTGGCCTTTATTAATTATGAACATCACATCAGACGTAATCAAATCTCGGACATGCGGAATCTAAATGACATATCATGTATGTAAGTTCAGATTTGATTGAGAGAAAGAGCAGCTTGTGCCTTACTTGCCTCCAACTTTCTGTTCTCAAGCACCAGTACGTACTCTTTTACTTCACACAGTGTCTTTCAACTCTTTCAAAAGCTCTGTGTAATAGTGTCTTTGCATTTATTCAACTTAAAGTGGACCTATCATGCTATATTTGAAACATATATTGTAGGGCCATACCTATAAAAACATGTCTGGTCAAAAATACCAAACAGATCATGCATTTTAGCCATGCCTCATTTCGCTCTATTTGCTCTTTTCCAGCCCTGTTTTTGCAAGGGCTGATTCTGCTTTTGTGGCAGACGACAGCGCCACTTACAGGCCTGGCATATGTACTACAGCATCTCCAGCGCTTTCCAGCGGTCTCTCATTCCCCTGATAGGTGGAGAGTTGCCCATATAGGCGGAGCACCCTTTTTCTGACGTCAGAACAATTCAAATAATAATCAGCTCCGTTGCAGCCCCGTTTTTAGAGATTTGGGTATGGAGGAAAAGAGAGAGGGTTGTGTTTTCTGACACTTGGTGAGTTCCCTGACACACCGGGGACACATATTCATGTATAAAAGACGTACAAAAGTGCATTTTGCATGATAGGTCCCCTTTAAAGGTGGGGTAGGTAATTCACCTCAGAAACACTTTTTGTTATATTCCATGGGATGCTCTTAACATCCCGATAGCAATGAATATATTAAATGCTTTGACAATAAATACATTAAAAAATGTCATCTGTAGAAGCCGTGGCGCTGTAAGAAGCACATATTGAAGAAAAAAAACAGATACTTCAAGCATAAATGTCAAGGCAGTTCAGACTAGGGCTGTGCAATTAATCGTATTTTAATCGCGATTACGATTATGGCTTGCGACGATTATGAAAACAGCATAATTGACAAAATACGATTATTTTCCTGGGTGCGCTTTCGCCCCTCCCTCAAAGCCCACTCGGCCACGTGGGAGTGACATGTGTTGTGAGTGTTCAGCGCGAGCGAAGATGTCAGAACAAGAGCAGCAACTCGTTAAAAAGAAGGGTCAAACTATTTCCACTATTTGCAAGTACTTTGCCTTTACATTTCACATCGCTAAAGATATGTGCACTGTTAGCAACCAGGGCTTTAAGCAACTTGTCAACACGTTGGACAAGCGTTACGCGATGCCGTCTCGGTATTATTTCAGCAGGTCTGCGCTGCCTGCACTATATGACAAATGCCGTGGGGAAGTTGAGAGAGATGTGGCTTCAGCTGACTACTTTGCTACCACAACAGACCTATGGTCTAGCCCAGGGGTGCCTAACCAGTCGATCGCGAGATGTGTCTAAAAATAGAACAACAATATTCTGTTTTATCGTTAATGTCCTGTAACATAATCTTCCTGTGCCAGAATAATGCACTTGAACGCATCAAAGCTTTGTGATTGGCCGGCGTCACCCCATGTGTCGGGGCGTGGCTGAGGGTCTTCAGTACAGGTGGCAATATTGTCACCTGCCTGCGCTCATCTCTGAAACCAGACCATGTAAACAGGCTGGTGTTTCTTGCAAAACATCTTTAAGAGATGACATGAGCAGCCCTACCAGCATTTGCCATGGTGGCCTAAACATTTTTATTTGGTCTTAAATTGTAGTTCAACATTTATTTCCTGTTACTTCTGGACCATGACGGTTGGCCAGCCTTCAACGTTTAACTTAGTGGAATAATGAATATGTTTTACCAATATGTTGGCTATATGTTAAGGAGTTTTCAGTAGGTTGTGACAGTGCACTGCAACATATTTGATTTCATTTATTTTGGTCTAATTTATTTTTATTTATCATATATGTTTAGTATGGTTTTGGAAGTGTGCTCCAACATATTTGTTGATCTTGTTTATTGGTAAAATATGATTTGTTTTAAAGTTCAATAAATGGTCAATGAATAATCGTCAAAATAATCGTGATATCAATTATTGACCCAAATAATCGTGATTATGATTTTTGCCATAATCGCACAGCCCTAGTTCAGACTCTACAATGTTTATGTGCTTCATCCAATGAATGCCATTGTGTTCATGTCTAAGGACTATAAGATGTTTTCTTATCACAACCAATGGCAACTACATCATTTCTAAGGCATTAAAATGCCTATAACCTTTTCAACCCTTTTTTTATCAAGATTGTTTGGTGCTTTGATTTGATATTGACCTTGTTGTATTATAATCCTCTTCCACTTTGTGCTGTATAATTTTCTCATTAGGGAGTCGTTCAAGCGGTTGGAGAACTGCCATTTGTATAATATGCTTTTTATTATGTTACAGTAGTTGCAATGAACATGTTATATGCAGTTAAAATCTAATTATGCCTCTGCTTGCGTTGTTAACTGCAAAGATGTAGCCTTCTCTCTAAGACGGGTAGAGATATGGCGAGTTTATCCAATACACGAAATTCAGAGGCCAGTAAGAAAATAGTCTGATGTGTCCACGTCTGAGAAAGAATTTTAGCGGGAATCAGCGGTGCTCTTATCTTACCCCTTAACTCTTTCTCTCAATCCGCTAATTAACCATGTCTCTTGTCTCGGAAAGTTGAGATCCTGAAAGTTCTCTGTGCAGATGTATTTCTTAGTTAAAAAGTAATGCAACTTCGAAATGGAGAGTTATCATCCTGATTGTTGTAAGGGTTGTAGATTTTATTGACCATAGCTGGTTATTCCATGGTATACTTTTCTGCTGATCGTTATTACAAAATGTGTAACTGTGATTCCTTCATCGATTTTTCACTTTGCTTACAGATATCAACATGGCAGGAGAGCCCAAACCGTACAGGCCTAAGATGGCCTCCAAGAGGCCTCTCTCGTCCCTCTACAGGTCTGTGTAAAACACTTTTTTTTATGTCTGTCGGTTATTGCTTTTGTGACCTAGTTTTCCAACCGTTCTCATATTCTGCTGTCATCTTGGGTAGTTCTGGAGGAACAGCCAATTTCCTAACTGTGATATCAATGATTGTTGTTATCACACATTCACTCCTTCTTGAACTGTGCACAAGAAGTGAAATGGCAGACGTAAAAAAAGAAAACACAAAACAGGTGGCTGTCAATTGTTTTTTTTTTTTTAAAGGAAATAAGCTTATTAATTTATACTTAGATGAAATGGTACTGCTCTTATGTCTGCAAATATGAAGCTGAAGCAACATTTAGCAGCTAGTTAGCTTAGCCCAAAGACCTTGAAACAGGGGGGAACAGCTATCTGGAAAAAAATCGGCCCTACAGTAGCATCTTTACAGATCACTAATGAACACTTTACGGCTATGTTCATGACATCTTTACAAAAACTGAATAAACTAAACTAAATCTGCTGGTAGGGAAATATTTCAGTTGTTATGCTTAGCTAAGCTAACTGGCAACTGGATGTAGTCTTATGGTTACACTACAGCTATGACAGTAGTGTCTTCAGTCTTGTGTTAGGATTTAGTTATTTTTCTTGCAAAATGTATGCATTAAACAGTATAACAGAAGAATGAAACAGTCCATATTATCTTCACAGCGGCTACGAGTTTGACTATGACTACTACAGAGACGATTTCTACAGCAGGTATGCAAAAGCACTTCTTCCTTTTTAACTCTCAATATAGTATTTTCAAGTAACTTTCCTCCTGATATTTGCCCTTCAGTTTTCACCCTTCTTCCTCCCCATTCCCGAGTCAGCTACTTAGATACAGATGAGTTTTGGGCAAAATAGCCCCATTTCAATCTGAGGCAAAGTAACCACATTATCATAGGCATAATGAATGTCATATTGGGTAGGTTTTATTTCCTCTCCGTTGGGCTTACTAATGATGCTTTTATCCACATAATGCGAGGACTGAATGTCAGATAGTCCCCCGGCTGGTCATTTGCGCTGGCAAGGCAGCAAATGTTTCTTGCTTCTGACATTTTCATTGGTTTGTTATTTATTTCCTGTACTTTGCAATATCCCTGGGAGTGCAATCCTTCAGCTTTGAGTCATTATTGCTATTTGGGCAATTTGATGTGTCATAGGCAACCGGGAACAAGATTTTGATTGGATGGCCCCCGTGTTTTTCAATATGTAGCTCTATCATTCAAACAACTTGTGCAAAATGTCTATTCAGTCTTTTGTAAGCGTTGCTTGTTGCTTGAAATAACAAAATGTAGGAATCTTGAGAGTGACAGCTTGAAAAACACCACTTTACTGTTCAATTCCAGTAATATATCCAGAAATACTTCTCTATGCTTTTTAGAAAAGGGTTTTGCGGCACTGTAATACTGTTTTCTAACAATTCTCTTCTTACTACGTTTGATGCATGTTTACTTTATGTTTAATGTGTCTTCTTTAGACTCTTTGAGTACCACGGTCGTGTCGTGCCCCCGACCCGTGCAGTGATCCCCATCAAACGTTCGCGGCTAGTCGTCCAGTCCAAACGCAGAGCCAAATCCTCTTTTCCAGTCAGGGCCTGTTCTCCCTCCTCCTCCTCCTCTTCCTCCTCCCGAGCACTCAATGTCGGCTCTTCCATCACAGTCCCTAAGCGTATGTTCTCTTTTTCCCTATTTTTTCCTCTAATTCACTTTTCCCCGCTCTGTTATAAAGAACGTTTTTGTTTATTTCTACTTGGGTCTTATTTGTGAAGGTTTGGCCATCATTTGTATTGGTTGTGATTAGATTGTACTCAACTAAGTGATTGATTAGATGTGAAAATATGACTAAATCACTTCAGTGTCAGGGTTAACAACATGAGCATTTAGACATCAATATCAAACTAGTCAAGGACTAATACCAGAAACGGCTATCCTGGGTCTGTCGGATCCAAACTACCTACAACGCTTTCAACCATTAAGTCAAAAAAAAAAAGTACATTTAAATTAAAAAAAAAAAAAATCCAAATAATCCTTTTAAGTTGAGATGAGTGTATTGACACTGACAAGAATGATGACCAACACTGCTAAATTGATATCTAGATTTTATGAAACCTTAATGTTTTCTAATTGTTAAAAAATGCCGTACTGCTCCTTCACGTATTGTCCACATCATGCGATTCAGTAAAATATATCATAGGACTGGGTGATATGTTGGTATTAAATCATTTTGATTATAGTTTTGGATATCAGAATATGGCAAGAGTGTTGTCTTCTCCTGGTAAAAGATACATTACAGTAAAGTGATGGTATTTTCTACAATTTACTACACCATTTTAGCTTTACAGGTATTTGCATTTACTTATTTTTTCATCAAATCCACATTAATGATGATTATTTAACAAAGATTTCACTGTGGTAATATTTTGTAAAAGCGCCAATAGTCAACCCTACAATAAGATCACACAATTGATATTGAATTATTCAGTCAAAAATATTGTGCAGTTAGATTTGTTACTTATCAGTCCATTTTTATCATAAACTCTGTCTTCATACGCCTTCATACACCCTTTAGTAATTGTACCTCAGCAACATTTCTCACAATAACCTTGTCTAAGTGTTATAACCATGGGCCTCCTTGTCAAACTTCACATTAATTATGATTTTTAACTCTATTCATGTATGCACACAGTGAAGACAGACCAGCTCCTAACAATCAAGAAGGAGCTGTCACAGATCAAGAACAAGATCGACTCTCTGCTGGGCCGGCTGGAGAAGATTGAGAGGCAACATCGCTCTGACGGCGGTGAGATTTGACAGAGGGGGAGGATGTGTCTGCGTGAGAAGCATGAATTTATACATGTGGAGATGAAAGACAAACACGGGGCGGAGTGATACAGAAAATATTAACGTTGAAGACTATACTACTGGTAAAAAATAAGACGTTAAATAAATCTGAACCGCTCAGATGTTAACTGCCGCTCTCTCTTTCCCCAGACATGCAGAGGAACCAGGAGGAGGTTTGTGAGCGTCTCCATGGTGACCACTCAAGTGCGGAGGAGGCGGACGAGGTGGAGGCGGGGGAAATGACGGACGGCGGTGAAGACGACT